GCAATCCCTTCTCCTCCATCCGCCCCTGGGGAGCTTGGGCACGCACGCACACGCGCCTGGCGTGAGTTTGAAGCCACCAGGTCCGGGACGCGAACCGCGGTCGACTACGTGGGAGTCCAGCGACATAGCCATTACGCTAACTGCTGGTTTGCGATAGTTTTATTTTATATACATCAAAACACGTAAGCTTTAGGGAAAAGGGGGTGATGGTAGCGACCCAGTCAGTTACAGTAATACTTGCAATCAGCTGATAGTTCAGGAGTTCAGGGCACCCTTGGGAGTACCAGTCCAGTTCTGCACTGGAAGCAGGCACGACTGGACCTGGACTGGGCTAGGGTGGCCTTGCTCTAGTGACAACTCCTTCTCCTCATGCGGGACCTGGGCCAGGCCTATCACCAGCTCTTCCAGAAACCCCCCAGCCACATCAAGAGCAGCCTGGTGAGCAGTGAGCGGAAGCGGGTGAGCATGGCCCGGCTAGTGCTGGCTGGGGCAGCCCCTGCTTTTCCTCTCCCTGTGTCCCTAGGAAACCATGAGACTGGACATAATTTGACTTTCAGGAGGGATGGTATACTGGCATGAGACCTTCCTTGGGGCTGTAGCCATGGCAGGTCAGGGCAGGCCATGGGGAGGCAAGCTTGGGGACATACATGCTCATCTACAGCCATTTCCTCCCAATGGCCCTCACCAGTTTGGCTCCTGGCTCCTTTGTCCCTGAGCCAAGGTCAGCCTAGTACTTTTGCCCAACATTGAGATAGCCGGGAGCCCTTTCGGCTGTCCTCGGCAGACTTGCAGTGGTTGTGGTTTCTAGTGAGCACGTGTTAGGAAGGACCTTACCAACCAGGAATGTACCCAGAGGAGCCTTCTGAGCACAAGGCCTGAAACCAGGTCACATGAGGAAGAGTTACTTACAGAAGTGGCCATTTAATCTGTAAGGAAGTCTTATGCATGTGGGAGGGCTCCTGCATGTGGCTTAGCTGTACACTTGGTGGGCACACAGTCTCTGGGAAGTTCAATGGAGGGCTATCCAGCCAAGAACTCTGGGAAAGGAAATGTTGGGCTGGGTGGGAGGTTGTGCCAGAGAACACCTTGATCCTGAGAGTATTATTATTTTTTTTAAGAGAGGTTTTTATCAGAGGGTGTGTGTGTTTGCTGACAGAGAGACAGAAGTGAGAAATTACCCTCCCCACCCCACCCCTGAAAAGATGGCCACGCTGCAGTCCCTTCTCCATTCTCTTCAGGATTTTGTGCATGCGTGCACATGCGCCTGGTGTGAGTTTTTTTTTTTTTTTTTTTAAGAATTATTTAATTTTATTTATTTATATATTTACTTTCATTTGACCAGAGAAAAACAGACACACAGGGAGAAGGAAAGTGAGGAAGCAAGCCACCAGCTCTCGGGACTTGAACTGTGGTTAGCCATGGGGGAGTGTCCAGCGCCTTAACCACCATGCCAACTGTTGGCCCCCCTGGTGTGAGTTTTAAGCTGCCAGGTTTAGGACTTGAGCTGCAATCGACTGTGTGGGAGTCCAACCATGTAACCATCACACCATCTGGTGGTCCCCATAAAAGTGTGGGAACAGCTCCTTTTCTTTTGATCCTGAGATTCTTATAGCTCCTGAGTAAAAGCTTCAGTGTTTCTTCTGTCCTCAAGAGGGCAATGACACGATGTAGTCTTCACCCTGCATACATTGGAATCTTGGAGTTGGCCCTCAAATTCATCGGGCCGGCCAGGACTACCCTTCCATCCCCAGGAGGTAGTCTAGACCCTGTGCCAGGCCGGTGAGGCTCCTCAGCTCCCCTCACCCACCTCTAGGGCATGCAGCTTGAGGACCTCAGGCAACAGCTGCAGCAGGCTGAGGAGGCCCTGGTGGCCAAGCAAGAAGTGATCGACAAGCTGAAGGAGGAGGCTGAGCAGCATAAGACTATCATGGAGACTGTCCCAGTTCTGAGGGCTCAGGTGAGGGTTCTGTCTGTGTCCACCTGACCCTGAGATCAGGCAGGCCCTGGGACTTGGCATGCCTGTTTGGCCTCATCTTATGGAAGGCTCCATATGCTCACCGAGCCCCTTGCACCATTCCTTGACCTCTCGGGGCACTTGGGGTCAGTTGTTGCTCTGTCTGCTTCCTTTCCCTGGTGTTGCATGGATGCCCAACAGGTGGCCAATGGGCAGCAGCACTCTCTCTTGGATTTTCCAGGCTGATATCTATAAGGCAGACTTCCAGGCTGAGAGGCAGGCCCGGGAGAAGCTGGCTGAGAAGAAGGAGGTCTTGCTGCAGCAGTTGGAGCAGCTGCAGAGGGAGTATAGCAGACTGAAGGCCAGCTGCCAGGAGTCAGCCCGGTGCGTCCCTAGCCGCTCACAGAAGAGTCGGGTGGAGGGCAAGGTGCTGGGGTGCCAGCTTAGGGAGCAGCTACGCCTCCCTTTGCTGTTTTTCACTTCTTCCTACAGCTTTTCATGTTAGCCCACCTAGCAGTTTTCTGAACTGCTGGCACTGATTGGATGGTTTCTGTTTTCAAAGGATTGAGGATATGAGGAAGCGGCATGTGGAGGTCTCCCAGCCCCCCTTACCTGCCGCCCCTACAGGTGACTGAGTGTGCATTGGGCTGGGGCAGTAGGTGGCTAAGGGAGGAATTTAGTGGTCACATGTGAGTGGGGACCCTCAAAGTCAAATATGCCTCAGAACCCTGTACCCTCTCAATCCCTGTGGTCTGTATCTGTCCTCTTTTTCCAGTTCACCACTCCTTCCACCTGGCCCTGCCCAGCCAGCGGAGAAGCCCTCCTGAGGAGCCGCCTGACTTCTGCTGTCCCAAGTGCCAGTATCAAGCTCCAGACATGGACACCCTGCAGATACATGTCATGGAGTGCATTGAGTAGGGCTCACGGATGCCAGGCCCTGCAGATGACCACCCAGGAATACGTGGCCTGCTTCCTCTTCACCTGCCCTGTCAATGGACAGGCCACAAAGCGGGCCACTGCTCTGAGCCCTGGGAGCTTGCTGCAGGGCCCCACGCTTCAGCTGTTGGCCTGCTGGTTCACCACCTCTAGGGTAGCTCTTTTCCTTCTGTTCTGTCTGCTTGACTGCTTGCCTCTAGGGGCTGATCCCTCACTCTCCTCCCACCTACTCTTGGACAGGGCAAGAGCAGAGGTTAGGATGTCAGGCCGTCAGAGTCAGCCTGGGCTGGGAAATGACTTTATCATTCCTAAGGCCTAGGTGTGCAGGTGATCAGGTTGGATTGGGGGAGGTGTTACAGGCACAGACAGGGTTCCTCCCATGAATGCTGTGTTTCAGTTCTGATCCTGCAGCTATCCCGTATCAGCTCTTTCAGTTTTTTTTTTCCTTTGGGGGAGGGGGAATGGGGATTGTGTGTGTTTCTGTGACTGGTGTAACAAATTACAACAGACTTGGAAACTCATTTCTTCAGGATTTTGGAAGCCAGAGATTGCTTCTGGAGGCTCTGAGCATCAATTCCAGGCCTCTCTCAGCCTCTGGTGACTGCCAGCACGCTTGGTGGTCTGTGGCTGGTATACCTGTCACTGTGGTCTCTGCCTGTGTGATCACTGGATGTAGGGCCCACCTGGCTAATCCAGGATGATCTCCTCACTTCAGATCTTTGCCTTCATTGCTTCTGTAAAGACGCTTTACCCAAATAAGGTCACAGTCACAAATTCTTGGGGTTAAGACATTTATCCCTCTCTTTGGGGAGTCACTGTTCAACTCATTGTGGGAACATCATCCAGAGCCTACAGATAAGGGCAAAAACAGCCCGAAGGCAGGCGCTTCTAGGACCTCTTTTACAGAGAATCACTTCTCAGGGTGATGGTGGCCACTGGGCTTCAGAATTTGGTGTGGGCCAGGCCCTTGTGGGCATAGAGACATCTTATTTCCCAGGGGATGCTGCTGTTGAGGCCAGTGGGTGTGGGGGGAGAGCCAAGTTGGCTGCGGCAGGACGCACCTGCTGGACCACTTGCATGCAGGTAGTGGCTATCAGCCTCTGAGAAGGCTGACAGAGGTGCATGGGAGCTCTTCTCTGTTCAGTCCTCCTCTCTTCTGAAAGGGGCTTAGAGAGAGAGAGAAGGCATTTCTCCCAAGGAATGCCACATGAGCTGCACAGTGGAATTATCCAGGAGCTTGAAGGATGCTTCTGCCTGGGCCTCCTGGGCCTTTAGGGTTAGAATCTGGGGTTGGGGCCAGACATTGACCCTCTCTGCTGCCACTTCTGTAGCCCTGTGTAGAGTTGACCAGATGTTAGCCATCAACGGTTTTGAACCAGCCTGTTCACCAGAGAGGGACATTTTGCTTCTTTCCTCTCTGGCTTTAGGTTGGGCTTCCAGGACAACTGGTTGGTTTCCTCCCTTGAGGGAACCAGCCTGCCTGCCCTTAGCTATGGCTTCTGGTCCAGAACCTGGGCTCTTCCTCTTGCTCATTCTGCTGGTCCACACACAAGGGAAATCCACATGGGCTCTGCATACAGCAAGAAAGCATGGCACACTTATGAGTAACTGCAACAACACTGGCTCCCACAGTAAGCAAAACGAGACTGCAAACAAGCAGCTCATCATAGGACGCAGGCCTGGCGAGGTCCCTGTCTCCGAGGGGCCGCTTACTGGGATGCTGCAAGCAGTGCAGAAGCATCGGTTGTGCTCTCCCAGTGACTGCCATTGGAGCAGCTGAAGTGAAGTAACAGGCCATGGATCTGAACGTCTCACTATGTGAAAAGTGCTTTGTAGTACATTGCTGTGAAAAGGCAGGAAACCAAATCATAGAAAGTGTGACCCCAATAAAGAAGTAAACTGCAAGTGCACACTGCTCTCTTGTCAGCTGTGGTGGGTGGCAGGGTACTGGAACCTATGGGTCTTCCTCATGTATTTCCGGTTTCCTAAATGCTGTTGGTACATGTTACTTCATACACAGGACGTGTGTGCCCTCAGAAAGCCAGCCTGGTGTTAGACAGCAGCTCAGGCTTGAAGGGTTCTTTAAAGCATGCCCTGGGCTGCCCTTGCAAGCACCACGCTGAACTCTCAGAGGTCTGAGAGCAGATGTGGCTAGTGACTAACTTCCGGGGCCGGAAGAGAACAGGCCTCCCAGTTGCTGTTGTGGCTGTGGTACTGGTAATCCTGGGTAGGCCTGGGCTTGTGGCTGATGTCTCTGTCTCCCATCCTTCCTATGAGCTATAGCAGCCAAAGCAGATTCTTCTCAGTGGGTGGCATCAGGGGTGGAGCTGCGCTCATCCCATCTGTGCAGGACCTTGGGCCTCTTGGACAAGGCATGGCTGGCAGCTCGGTGAGGGGGGGGCAGTGGCCACGTGTCGAGGCAGGGATGTGGGGCCATCCTTGATGGCTCCCTCTTGAAAGATGTGCTCTGAGGTCCTTGAGAATGATACTGCTGTGGTGTAGGTTGACAGTCATTTTGAGGGATGGAGGGAGGAAGCCCAGTGGGTTGTGAGGCCTGAGATTTTCCAGACTCAGACTTCTTAGAATGGGGCTGGGCATCCTAAGGAGGCAGCCATAGCTGCTGGAAGCCATACTTGACTGGTCTCTTTTGCTTAGAGCCATACTTGACTGGTCTCTTTTGCTTAGAGGGGACCTACCTGCTTAGAGGGGTCCCCTCTCACCACTCTGGCTCTTCCTTCTCAGGCTTATTCGTGCTTGGAGCTGAGTCCTAGATTTCCTCTTCAGTGATCTTGTCCAGTTGCAGGCCTTGATGCAGAGGACACTTGCCTGAAACGCCAGCCCAGAGCTGTCACTTTACTCATCTCCATCAGGACTGGTGGTTCCATTTGTTTAAGCCCTAAGTCTCAAGCCCAGAAAACCCCCTTAAGGCCTCATTCTCTTGTCCTGGTAGCTAGCCATCAGTTCTGGTTGCACATCTTGTGTCCCTCCCCTGCTTGGTGACTGGCCTTTGTCCTTTCGGTCTTAAGGCCTTTGACCCTACTGTCTTCTCTGCTGGGAAGGCTTTTTCCTACAGTCACTTCCTCCAACTCGACTTTTTGATTTTTTTTTTTGGAGAGGTTTTAAGCCACCAGCTTTGTGACTCAAACTGGTGGACTATGTGGGAGTCCAGTGACGTAACCATTACACCATCTGCTGGTCCCAGAAAAGGTAATTCTTGTAATGGCTTCTATCTTTTAAATTTCTCGACAAAACCATGTTTTTGTTCACTGTTTCAAGGTGAATGATGTCCTTCCAGCTCCAAATCTAGAGTCTAACAGACAGAACTTGGAGAGTACAACAGTTCTTTTCTGATTTTCATTTAATGCTTAGGCAGACTTGCTGAAAGCTTGCCTGTTATCTTGGAAAAAATTAATTGGCCATTAATTTTTTTCTATATGGTAATAGTTCTGCTATAATATGTGAGTTTATTTTAAAAAAACGTTTAAAGATTATTTTATTTAATTTTGTTTATTCATTCATTTATTTTAATTTGACCAGAGAAAGAGAGTGTGAAAGCAAGCCACCAGGTTTGGGACTCAAACCATAGTCAGTCATGTGGGAATATCCAGCACCTTAACTACCACATTACCTGCTGGCCCCTAATATATAAGTTCTAAAAATCATTGTGTCGCACAAACCCCAAGGCTTGAAGGGAAAATGAGTTTAGGGACACAATACCCCAAAACTTTGCCAATGATACATACAAAGAAAGAAGATAGGAACAAATGAAAATGGTGGCACACTTTTACTGTGTTAGGTGGCTGAAGATACCTCTGCTGCAATGAATAAGGCACTTCACCTCGAAAAAACCTGAAGTTTGCTGGCAGGGCTGGTGGTGGGAGGGCTTGCTCCTTGGGCATTAGTGAAAGCAGGGTTTGCTGGGATGGGAAAGTTGAAACACCAGATGAGGACAGGTGTAGCTCATTATGTATACCATGACCTGTGGGGGCTGATGGGCACTGGGCATGTGCTTGTGCATGTTCTGTGTGCGCTTGTGTGTGTTCTGTGTGCATGCTCTGTGCAGTATGTGTGCACATTCCATGCATTCCTCCGCTGATTGCTCCATTGCAATGGAACAACTTAGTGTTTTCACAACAAGCCTTGGGAACCAGCAGTTAGCGTAATGGCTATGCCGCTGGACTCCCACGTAGTTGACCGCGGTTCGCGTTCCGGACCCGGTGGCTTAAAACTCACGCCGGGCGCGTGTGCGTGCGTGCCCAAGATCCCGAGAGGAGAATGGAGGAGAAGGGATTGTGGCGTGGCCATCCCCCCTGGGGGGTGATTTCTCGCTTTCTGTCTCTATGTCTCTCTCTGTCTGTCTGGCGAGCGCACGCGCCCTACAGTGAAAATCTCTCAAAAAAACAAAAAACAAACAAACAAACAAAAAAAACAAGCCTTCTAAGTATATTTGGTCGAAGCTTTCTTTATCCCTTTCCTCTTTCTCTGTTTTTTTTTTTTTTTCCCCCATCGAATGAGTAGAAAAGGGTTATAGATTTGGAAGAGAAATGAAGAGGTCACAAAGTCTTTGATCTCCTCATTGCATGAGTGAAGAAATGGAGGTTCACAGAGGTTGTAACTTGACAAAGGTTAGTCTCAGGATTGAAAACCTGGTTTGGGCACTCCCCCAATATTCTTTTATTTTTTATTTTTTTAAATTTAACTTTATTATTATTATCATTACTATTTTCCAGTTTGATCAGAGAGACAGAGAGAGAAGTGAGAAAGCAAGCCACCAGGTCCGAGACTTGAACCATGGTTGGCCATGTGGGAGTCCAGTGCCTTTCACCACCATGCCACTTGTCGGCCCCTCCCCCAATATTCTTAACCACATTCCTTCTTACTTTCAACACTTCTTATAGGTTATGCCATGCAGTATGTCACTTGAGCATGTTTTCATGTAATAGTTCATTATCTTTGCTGTAACAGAGTTGAATAGACACACCCTCCAGCATGCAGTATTTGTCTTGCTGTTTCTGGCTTCTTTTACTTAGCACATTGTCTTCCAGGTTCATCCATGCTGTCATGAATTGCAAGACTTCCTTCCTTTTTAATGGCTGACTAGCATTCCATTGTGTATTTTTCTTTTTAGAATTATTTTATGTATCTTTATTTATTTTTAATTTTATGAGGGGGGAAGGGAGGGAGAGAGAGAGAGAGAAAGAGAGTGAGAGAGAGAGAGGGAGAGAGAGAGAGAGAGAGAGAGAGAGAGAGAGATCAAACTGCCAGGTCCGGGACTTGAACCAGGGTTGGCCATGTAGGAGTCCAATGTCCTTAACCACCACACCACCTGCCGGCCCCTCCATTGTGTATTGATACCACATTTTCTTTATCCAGTCATCTGTTGATGGACACTTAGGTTGGTCTTGACTATTGTGAATTGTGTGCAATGAACATGAGACTGTGCAGATATGTCTTCAGCACACTGCTGTTCCCTTAGTAGTAGGGTTGCTAGATCATATGACAGTTCTCCTTTCAGTTTTTGAAGAACCTCCATACTGTTTTCCATAAAGCCTCTATTATTTGTACTCCCACCAACAGTGTACAAGGGTTCCCTTTTTCTACACCCTTGCTAACAGTTGTTATGTCCTGTCTTTCTGATAATAGCCATCCTCACAGGTGTGAGGTGGTATCTCATTCTGGTTTTAATTTACAAGAAATTAAACATTCCAACAAGGTCATAGCTGATGAGGATGTAGAGCTGTGTGGGGTCTTGTATGTGGTGTTGGGAGCATGGTTACTGTGTTCCAGGAGAGTGAACAAGAATGTTTGTAGTAGTACTGGCTACAGAGAAGGGTCAGGCACTTTCCAGATGCCCACCAGCAGTAGGAAGGGTTAATTCAAGTTGTAAAAACCTACTGAAGGGGCTGGCAGGTGGCGTGGTGGTTAAAGGCGCTGGATTCCCACATGGCCGACCATGGTTCGAGTTCCAGACCTGGTGACTTGCTTTCTTGCTTTTCCTTTGTCTCTCTTTCTTTGGACAAATTAAAAAATAATAATAACAAATGGAATTAAATACATAATTAATTTTTGAAGAAAACCTGCTGTAATGTAATGGGGAGCTTCTGAGGAATGCAGTCACATAAAATGTGATGCAGTATTATTGTGGGGGTCATGAAATGAATGGAGCAAGCCCATTGGGCATTCAAATCGGTCCCACCTTGCCTAGACTTTGGTGCCATCTAGTGGAAGATTGTGCTTTGACATAAAAAATGTAATACATATGTATACATTTCTTTTTTTAATTTTAATTTTTATTATCATCATAATCTTCTTTATATTACATTGGATTACATATAACTTTACAGTGTATTACATTGCTTTTTCAAAAGGGAATGCCATGCATGTAAGCCAATACAGAGACATTAATCTCCCCGCTTCAACGTTCAATATCTTTTCTATGATTTTCCCAATTATTATTATTCTAATTATTTTTAAAAACAGTCAATTACTATTTCTCATTTTGCTTGTAAAAAGACTTTACCCATCATGAAATACTTCTCAGACCAATCCAGTTGAGAATACTATACATGTCATCATCAATAGTTAATAAGCCCTATCTGTTTCTCACTAACATCCTGTCCCTCTATTGTTCTCTTGCTATCTTTCTCTATCCTCTTCTCTTCATCCGAAAGTCTTCGAACTCTTGTAAAATGCTCCCAAACTCCCATAGTGACTTCATAGAGTGCAGATAGTCGGTATATATTGAGTGGATACATACAATACCTTTCTTTCATAGCCTGGCTTACTTCACTCAGCAATAGATCCTCCATATCTGACCACTTTCTATCAAATTCCAGGGTCTTGTTATTTTTTATGGCTGAGTAGTATTCCATAGAGTATATATACCACACTTTTCCAATCCATTCATCAG